AATGTGTTGGCAAGCTGACCCGTAGAGAATTCCATATGTGTTACAGACCGGTCTTTTAGGTCATTATTGTTATCTGTGAACTTCCAAGTGGTCTGCAATCAAATGTTCTTATCATTGCCACTGTATCGTTCACAAAATGTTGACTTACTTGTCCGCTTTTTAAGCAGTAATAAATATTACTAAAAAATAGACTAAACGATGAAAAAATAGACTAAAACCACGAATGGCTTAAGCTTATTAACAACGATTGGAGACCTCGTTTAAGATATCAACTCCAAATACTCGCTCTCTGTCTCATAAAATACACTGTTTAATAAAGCTGTCAAGGATAGCATAACCAAATCAGTGCAAATTCCCTCATCTTATATCATATTTATTAATTTACTTTATCAATCCGAAGGCTGAGGCATGCAACGAGGCCATGACAATTTATGGTAAAATGACATTCTTTGTAAAACCTGCTAAGTAACAGAAAATGCAATATACGATAATCCGATAGCATCACAGAGGTAATAAACAGGAAGATCTAGAAACAACAGTAACAACTTGAACACGACAGAAAATGATGGGAACAGTTTTTATGTTGGCCTACTGTTATTATGATATATGCAGAGCTAGGGAAGCACATTTCAAGGGCATTTGCACTGAATCTAGCTATTGTTACAATCTAGCGAACAAACAGAGCGCCCCACATAAAATTTGAAGTAATAACCTACAGGTGTTTAACATACGTTATTAGCTAAGTCTACATGAATTAAAACATGCCTGACAAAATTCTCTTGAATGATCATTCGAAAACCTTTTTTTCTCGGTGCGATATTAACCAAAGACCCCAACATAATGGTCAATACTGACTTCGAGTTTCACACATCGCTAGGCCATAAGCTTAAAGCAACCTCGCTAGCTCAGCTATAATCATTTCCACTTTGAAGTTTCTTATCCATCTGATAGATTAAGACATAAAGAAAGCCCAATCCAGAAATAACAACTGTTAACAAATTCTAAAAGTACTTTGAAGTAACAGTAAACAACCAAATCATAACTTCCGTAAACAAACAGATTATAAACCGGATACACTTATCTTTAATGTGAACTTACGTCATTTTCTTTATTTTCAACATCCATGGTAAAACAGCTTGAATGAGACAGAGAAACAACGCGTAGCCACTCTGGACGATTCTTATTGTATTGATCGAAAGGGCGCGAAATTTAGAGCTGAATGTTCATACTCATCAAATATATATTGCATATAAATCAACCTGAGTTCAGATAGAATTTTCGTTAAAAGAATTAAGCAATACAATTATGATACTGGATCAGTTAATTTCATACTGATAAAAATGCTCTAATTAACACAATTTCAAAGAAATTGTTGGGGAAAGGAGAATAACTACTAACCGTAAGAAAAGAAAGGCGAAGTATTGAGCACCGCTGACTCACGAATGGTTACCATTCCCTAGAGAGTGGGCCGTGAGTCAAAAATTTGCAGTGAGACACCGCTAAGAAACCGAAATTAAAATGTTTAAATTTCGAATCATTTGGGCAAAAAAATTTGCTTAACGAATATTTTCGAAAATTCTCAGTTCAAACGTACTGTAACGTTAACGCGTTACACAGCCACCAGCGGTTACAGTCTATGACCTGCTGTGCAATAATGGTAAAATCTTTCCATCCTTTATCATAAGCTTTAATCGAAAAACAACTTTAATTTACAGAAAGAACAAGAGTCTCAGCAAGATCGCTTATGAAGTTTTATACTAGCATCTTAACCCCTTCGAACGGATTTCTGCATTTCAGAACGGAACATCCTCCAATCACAAATATGAATCCGTACGCTATTAACATGCAAAATGTGGGTCTGATATACACAGTGCGATTATTGACTCTCTGATAAATCATAACTGACAGTTTGGCATTGTGCTTCAATGAAAGAAGGAAACCAAAATCGTTCCTCATGAGAATGTTAGGAAGACAAGCATACCAGTGGTCACAAACTTTTCATTTTTTCGTTTATCAGCATCATCGATGGTAGCGAACTTCATCTTCGTCTTCATCTTCCATCGCCGCTTCTCCTTTCGGGTCGGGGAGGCAGACGCGTCAGACGGTGCTTCCAACGTTCCCGATCCTGCGCCAGAGTCTGAGCTTCGGCAAAAGACAGATGCAGTCAGGAACAGATTCCTTCATATGTTTCCACCAGGTTAATCTTGCCCGTCCCCTGGGTTTTTTGCCGGTCGGATTTGCAAGGAACAGTTGCTTGGACTTCCTTTCTGGAGGCATTCGCAACGCATGCCCAAGCCATCGTAGCTGTGACTTCTCAATCTGGAGAAGCAAAGGCTGTATTCCAAGGCTCTTCCG